CCTCTTCCATCTTTATCACGCTAACAAAGTAATTTCTTTCATTATCTTGCCCAAATCTGTAACTCATACTTAATGACTTGTTTACCTGTTTTTGTTGTACTCTGTGAACACTATGAGTCTATCAGCATAGCTATTTATCTCTAGTTTCAAAGGATATTTTTGTTTAATTCATTAAAGTGTGCCCAGTACCCAGAATAATCTTGTCATGTAATGAAGTTCAATAATTGCCTTTCAAGTAAATATGTAAGCAAATGAATTAAAATAGTAAATGCTATATGATTTTTTTTAAATATACACATGAAACTCTTTAGACATGAGAAATGTGTAACATAGTTAAGGACTCCATGCACTTAGTGGATGAAACAAAGAATAATGGGATAATTAAAAGAAAAGACGGGATGCCTGATTACGATTTGAAGAAAATCAAAACCAAGGGAGGTTCTTGGAAGGGTACCTCCTAAATCAGTAATGCCCTTACATTTGAAATTACTCATGCCTTTGAGGACCTTTGAGTGCATCTTCAGAATGGTAATTTTCTTTTTTTAGCTGATGTTCTAGTCTCTTAAGCATTTCTGAAGCTCTTTTCCTTCTCTGTATGCTGTTCCCAACACTTTAATGTTGCTGATCTGTTCTCACATGTAGACATCAATTTATGTGTGATTTCTTGGGGGAGGTCATAGCTGGCTGCACCTGTCTGGGTCTCCCAGCCTTTGCATATCTCCTAGGTCAGCGTTCATGGCAATGAAGTGTCATTTTCGTGATCCGTCTGTTTCCATCAATGCACCAAGTGATCGGTTGACACGGGACGTTATCTGTTGTGTTCACCACTGCATTCCTAAGCCTCATGCTGCACCTATAGTATCCTTCTTACATAAAGTAAGCAAAAATGTATTTTCTACATCTATATCAGTGTATAAGAACACCAATGTCTGTTCAGTTTTGCTAATTCAAACTATTGACTTTTATTATACCCAATCACTTATCATATAAAAATGCCTTAGTTTGATAATAAGCATAATTGGATTTTTTTCATGGTCATGCTTGATATCCATACTTTCTTTGGAGCACTGGTCTATTTGTTTCCTGACCTATTAACCTAGGCCAAAAATTTATTTATTTGTACCACTTCATGTTTTAAAAACTACTTCACATCTATTAGAGTGATTATTATCATAAAGATCAGAAAGAAGTGTTGGTAAGGATATGGAGAAAGCAAAACCTTGTACGCTGCTGTAGGAATAGAAATTGGTGTTGCAATTATGAAAAACAGTATAAAAGTTCCTTAAAAAACTAAAAACAGAACTATCATATGGTCCAGCAATACATGCATTGCTATACATTTATCCCAAGGAAACAAAACCATTCTCTCCAAAAGATACTTGCAGCCACATGTCATCATTGCTGCATTATTTACAAAGGGAAAATATGGGAAATTTTTAAATTTCCTGTAGCAAGTGAATATATCAGGAAAATGTACTACGTGTGTTGTGGAATAGTATTCAGTCGTGAAAAATAAGAAAGCTTGCTATCTACGACACAAATAGTTCTTGTGGCCACTGCCAGACAAAGAAAAACCACATATTATGTCATTTCTATGTGGAATCGAGAAAAAATTCTCAGATAGAGATAACATATGGGAGCTTTTCAGAGGTGAGTGGTGGGTAGGATAACATGTGTGAGCTCCAAAGTTTCAGTTACAGGATAAATAAGTTCTGGTTATGTAATGTACCGCATCATGACTATAAGAAACAGTGCCCTATGACATATTTGAAATTCACTAGTAAAGTTTGTAACTATGTGATGGTGGACGTTAACTAAGATTTTAGCCACCATTAAAAATATGTAGCAATCATTTTGCAATATACATATGTATCTAAACATTGTTGTATGGTAATTAATCATATAACACCAATATGTTATTTATCCATTATATCTCACAAAGATTAAATAAGTAACGAACTACAAACCCATTAGATACAGGTCCATTTTCTCAGTGCAGCCAAATAATTGAAATGATTCACTTGAAATATTTCTTGTTTACATTATTTTCTTGCATTGATCTCAACTCGTCTATAGTTCCTCTACTTTACACAGGCATAGGTTGATTCGGGAAAGTGGTGGCCTTGGGGAGGTAACAACTGCAGTGCGTCTCTGGCAACCCCTCAGAGGCTGGAATGGGGTGAGGTTGGGAGTGAGGAGAATGACTGAAGTTTTCAGTCTGCAAAGGAGAGGGAGAAAAAGGAGCCTTCAGTAAGATCAGAAGTCACAAACTTCAGAAAACTGGAAAAGATAGATGAGTGGTGGGTAGGACAACATTTATAATAGTTGAAGTTTCTTAACTCATGTACCAAGGTCATTTATAGTAGTTCAGGTTTCTTAACTCATGTACCAAGAACATATCAAGCAGATACATTTATTGGTCCCTAAATTAAGCTTCAAGGAAATGGTAAAAATAACAGAGTTGTTACTTTATGTATGTGACAATCTAGAAAAGAGAGGCAAACTGAAGTTAGTACAAACAACACGTGTATGTGAGCTAAAATTTTAGGTCGCTATTGGGGTAATGCTAGGGGACCCTGCGCTGCTTTGAAGGCCTGGAAGTATTCATGAACCTGGTAGGTAACACACAGGCGGCGAGGGCTTTCCAGGCTTTTCAGGCAGAGGAAATACTTAACTACATAATAAGTTCATTTGAAGCCCCCCCCCCCTTTTTTTCCCTATTCAACAATGGTACTGTACAAGTCAGTTATTTCTCTCTCAGAGCAGCTTCTATCAGGTGGTATTCTATTTTATATTAACTTTACAAAGGCTCCTTTTACCCTTGTGACTTTAATACAATGAAATTAATTCCAATGAAATTCATGTGTGGGCGTTTGTGAGGCTCCAGGTGGCAGGGTGAGGAAGAAAAGGCCCAAGTCACGGGGCATTAGGAAGCCTTACCCACCACACCATCTGGGCTTCACCACGCTGTTTTCTGGACTGGAATATCGAGATCTGCAGACCGCTTCCTGAGCAACCTCTCTCAGTATCTTGCAGGTAAACCACTTGGATATTATTGACAAGCTCTCCACCTTTTCAATCCAGAGTCCAGTGAAAAACTCTTGAGTTACTGAAAGTCCCCTCTGGGTGCCCCAAGCTGCTGCAACACAGAGTAGCCATCCTGAATAACTGTTTCGCTTCTGGGAAGCCTCTTCCTCTAGGCCAAGAAGCTCTGCTCACATGCCTGGCTGGGGCCAGCCCCTCCTGTATCAGGACTGATATGGCTGATGTGCTGTTGGTGAGCTTGGGACAACTTTGAAGAGCTTCTCCTTGTCTCTCCTAGCAGAAGGAGGTGACCTCAAAAATAGGGGCTTACGTGAGAGCTGAGGGGTCTGCCTGCTGATGACAGCTAGGGGGATTCAGAGACGTGTAGGGGACTGACAGTTGTTGCCAGGAGTCAGCCCAACAGTGAGGAAATGATTAGGGCATTAGGGGAAATGAGTAGGTCACCCAGTGTGGCAGAAGTGACAGCTGGGGGTCCTGCTCCAGAACTGGGACATGCTGAATAGCCCCACAGTTTTGAAGGGGCAGCTTTGTTTTGAGCCTGGAGATATTTCTTGGGTAATGTGGGAGTAAAACTTTTTAATAACTTAAAAATATCCAGACACTCAGCTTGGCTCTGGGTAAGAAGTGCTCTCAGAGCCAGCCAAGCTTGAGGGATTGCAGAAATGCCTTCCTGCCCCTCATGGGAGATGTCACAGGAAGTCTACCGGCAGGGGATGGATTCCATCTTGGCAAGTGAGGCTTCTGGGGGCATTTTTAGCACCTGGACCCACCTGTTAGGCAACATCATTAAGTGTCGGGAATCTTGGCTCCCAAATCAAATTATGATTCCCTCACCTAAATATAACTGCATTTATTTCTTTAGGGGTTCATGTAATACATATGTTCCCCTCAGAACTTTTCTCCAATCTTCTGAAGTTTAATTTCTGATCTTATTGAAGCTTCCTTTTTCTCCCTCCCCTTTTCAGACTGAAAACTTCATTACTCCCAGTCCTTTCTCCTCACTCCCACCCTCACCCTATTCTACCTCTGAGGGGTTACACACAGGCACACTGCAATTCAGTGGTGTTACCTCCCAAGCCCATCATCCTTCTCCCCGCCCACCTCCCTCCCCACATGCCCATGCCTCTTTGGCATTGCTGGTCAGAGAAGCCTTCTTCGTCTCAGCTTTTCCAGAAAAGCCCATGTTTCAAATCTTGGCTTTACAGCTAGGCAGGGACCTGATTTGCTTAAGTCAATTAATCTGTCAGAAAAGAGAGTTGAACAATCAGAATGATTGCTTTCTTTAAAAGACTAGTGCCAATTTTTAAAAAGTCCCTAGCCTTGTGAATGTGTTTGTGTATTCAGGGCAGGAGGCAGAGTACACTCGAAAATGGAATTTTAAAAAACATACAAAAAATAAAAGACAGGGGTAGTGGCCAGTTGTAGGTAGGGAGGGAAAACTACAAGCTCTGGACTCATTCTATCTGGGTTCAAATCCTGTTTTCCTCTCACTAAACTTTATGACCCAGGGAAAGTTACTTAGCTATTTTGTTTCTCTATTTCCCCCAAGGTACAGATGTATTAACTGTCTACCTCACAAGGCTGTTAGGGTTAAATGAAAGGAGAAAATGCAGCTAAAGGGCTTAGCACAATGCCGCAATTTGAGTGCCAACAAAACACAGCTATTAATTTTAATCAAATGTCAAAAATGCAACAAAGGAAATTGTTACTTCTATGACGTGTTTTTAGGAGCCATTTTGCATTTGTATTTTCTGTCAAATTTATGTTTTTTTATGTGAGTTACCTTTTAAAACCAAAATCATGAACTTCACACACGTGTGAGGAATGAGTACCCTGCCCCCACCCGACCTCCCATGCCAGGGGGCAGTTGTATTTTGCTCATGTCATGAAACGGAGATCGGAGTTACTCCCAGCCCCTACCACCTTGTTAAAAAGAGAAAGCACACTTCCAAAAATGATTGTATCACAAGAATCTTTAATGTTTAAAGTTTACTCACGGTGGGGGTGTATTTGTGTTTAGTAAAGTGTGCCAAACCACTTCAGTTCACATCACCACTCTCCACAGGGACGTTTCTGTGCCCAATGAGGTCATAGGGACAAGGGCCTTGACACTGCTGTCAGGTCAGCTCTGCGGGCGAGTTCTTCCCAACTCTCCAGGCACAGTCCACCCCAAGACACATCTTCCCTCCCATATAAAAGAATAAGATGGAAAATTTCTCAATGTAGTTCATAAGTTTAGCACGTCTCTGGTACAAAAATTCAAGAAAGGTAGAGCACAGAAGCGAAAGCACCAACCGAGCTTACTTATAAACGAACATGCATACGTTCTACACACTACAGGATAGTACTGAAATGAATACAACATTGCATTAAAAGGTATAAAAGCACAGTACTGAAAACTGAAAAGTTACACGTGAAATACTGCACTGTAAATCGTGAATACTCTAATGTCCCACCCCCGCCCCTCCACCGCGCTGGGGAGGGTCAGAAACCATGACTCTGCCTCCAGACCTTGCTAGTCCTCGGAGACACTGCTGCGGGGGCCGTGGGCAGTGGGACCGGCCTCCCGCAGGGCTCTGGCCTCCTCCAGCGCCTCCCTGTATCGGGAGGGCCAGGCCTGGGGGTCTTTCTTAAAGACCCTGGCCAGGAACTCCATGATCTGCATCTTGGTGATTTCGCGGCTGGCACGGGAGCCCCAGAAAAACTCGTACTCGGGCGGCTCCACGTGGGGGACGCGCTGGTATTTCAGGTAATTCTGCTGGACGAACTCCTCGGTGATGAGCCTTCTCACGTCTCCGAAGGTGGAGTGCTTCTTCCAGGGCCGCAGCCCCAGGATGCGCAGCACGTTCCAGACGGCACTCTCCCGGGCTCCGCGGCCCTTCACGTAGATGAGGCTGAGAATCATCAGCAGGAGGCCCGTCATGGGCATGCGGTTGCTGAGCGCGACCCTGTCCAGCTCCTCGGGCTCGAGCGCCTTGACGAGCGAGAACTCCATGGTGTGCAGGCTGGTCAGCCTCAGGTGCAAGCCGAAGACGCGGGCGAGGATGAGGCTGGTGCGCCTGAGGATGCTTCGGCACCATTTCTTGTAGCTGCCGATGACATCCTTCACCATGTCTGGGAACCAGATGATCATCCTCTTCTGGTCCTTGACCAGCACGTACCACATGAGCTCGTGTGCCTTCTGCACCAGCTGGGCTGGAGCCGGCGGCGCGGGGCCCGGCTGGGCCGCGTTCGGGGCCTGGTGGGCGCGGTCTTCCTCTGCGGCCTGCTGCAGGGCCTTGGGGTCTCCCTCTTCCATGGGGGCCTGGGGCGGCGGCGAGGCCAGAGGGGCGTCGGTCGGGCCTACTGGAGGGTTCTCGGGCTCCGCAAGGGTTGCGGCCTCAGGCGGGGATGGAGGGGCCCCCCCGGGAACCTCCGGGATGCTGTGCACCTCGCAGCTGGAAGCCTCGGGTGCAAAGTTGGGGTCGCACCCATCCTTACTTTGTTCGGACATCTCTGCTCCGTCTGCCAAGGGCAGGGCCTCTGCGTCCAGCAGCTCTTCGAGCCTGCGCTCCCTCTGAGGACTCCTGGAGAGGAAGTGCGCGTTGCTGCCGCTCGGCGCCTTCCGCAGCGGCCGGGCGGGGCGGGGCGGCGG